TTTTTATAAAAAACTGACCAGCGCGACCTCTAAGAAATCTTTTTTTTCATAATAAAAAAACACGTTTCTTTTTTTATCACAAATTACAATAATTTGAGGTAGCGTTTATGAATTGTTTTGAACCACTAATACATATATATATTCGCATATAGGTACTTATGGATGCACACCTTTATAGTTGACAACTGGATGCCTTGATATTAGTGCAAGCCCATTAAAGTGGATAAGAATTGTAGTGGGTTTCATATGGGACGTTGAAAGTAACAATATGTAAAAGCCAATTACTCTAAGAAGTGCAATGAGGTATGGTCGTTCTTTTGGTATGCAGTTACCGTTCGCGAAATCTGTGCAACGAGAGCAACTCATGTACGAGATGCGATAGCACGCCCGTGGAACCCTTGGGTATGGCAGAAAGAGTAGCAGCTACGGTGTGGACCCTAGGGCTTATTCGGTTTGAGGGTTGACTGAAGTCAGCGGCGTTTGTGAACCAGTATGGGCGGTTATAAGCTGGAGGCTGTTTTGATCCTAGAACCTGGTTTTGCCGTCGGGCTTGAGAACCGCCATGCATCGCCGAGTACACTCGCTCACCCCTCGAACGAATTCCTCGCCACAATGCACATCATAGCGAGATTCTTCAAAATATCCAACGACCGAATGGAAGAGAAAAATAAGGCGACCAAAGACCTCTACTGTGAGCAATCCATTAGGTTATTTGGTGACATCGCGTGCATGGGACTCAGTAGCGGTTTACTGGCCCGAGCTACTTCTCGCCACTACACCAAATAGGAGAAGTGTGTGCTCAGAAGTTTCAGCTATCCTGTCACAGAAACGGGATGGATAATTATACCAGATCCCGAGTTTGTTTAGAGGACGTTAATGAGCTTATCATATGTTTTCCTACTCTATCTCCCCAATAGCGTCTTTGTCTTGCGCTGCTCAATTATTTGGCTCTAGTGAAGTTCGCTACTAGCTCTTTCTTTTCACCTAAGCTCTTCACTTATGTTGTGTTGGTGCCACCTTCTTAGCACCTAACATGCATATGCCTCTTCATTTTCTGTTTGATGTCGTTCAATATTGCCTTGTTCTCTAGCCCTATTTTAAAATTCCTTTCGAATCTAATAATTTTACTGATAACCCGTGGAAATTGGGTTACGGGTATCTGATCCCTGAGAAATTCCATGTTCCATACACTTTCCCTCTACCTCAACAATCTCTGTTAAAAGTTAATGAGCGAATGTTTAGTTAGAATGTTTAGAATAATCTCAATTGATTGCGTAAGGGCTGGTGCACACACGCGAGGCATTGTAATTTCGTGAATGAGCGCCTCAGAGTCACTAGGTTGATGTGGTCATGTCGACGTACTTCTACCATGAGATTTTTGTGTCGAGAATGATGTACAAATTCTCACTTACAAGACGATGCTAAGCTCTATGCCATCGAGAAATATAGTTATCATTCCCGAAAGGGGTTTTCTTCTTGTGAATGGAGTTCGCCATAATGAAAAACACTCTTCATTGCCGTTGTTAACTGTTACAGGGCTGTCTCTGTGGATCTCTCTGCCCTGTAGGCGTGTAGACCACGGTGTAGTGGGCTAACTTTCATAGTATTCGACCGGGTTTCATTATAAATAATTTTCTCCTTCGCCTATAAAAAAAGGATGTTGCTGGAAGGATTTAGCTAAGAAGTAATTCTTTCTTCCAATCTTCGATATAGACGTTACCCGGCCTCTCGTCCACAATGTTTGGATGAAGGCTAGGGCTTAATTATGCTTCATTATATCTATAGGTGTGGGGCAAATAAATCCTCTCCACGTTGTAGTAAAGCCGGATGAATTCCTCCACGCGTAGAAAATTATAAGGATTAAATGACTCACCCGACACTGTCTCGCGTGAAAATACTTTTGTAAAGCCCCAATTGGATGAGGCTGGTCTAACTATTCAAACAGGCATTTCTATAGTCGTATGTACGTACCATTTGGTGTGTCTCTATTCCACCGTATGCTAGGGCTTTGTGCATTCTTGCAGCTGCAGAAGTGGATGTTACTTTCTCACAGAAGCAAGTTTTCCCACTTTTCATATCTCTATATTTTATATAGTTGGACCAGCGGTATAGCCCCCCTCAGTACCAACTTCTTTTTCCTATATGAATAAATTCAAGCTCGCCTTTCCTGAGCATTCGGGTGATTGCCGGGTTTTATTTTGGACTCATGGAAGCTACATCTAGGCCAGTGATGCTCAGAGAAAGCTTTTACTTTGTGCGCGTCCATAAAAAATATACACAGAGCTTTGAAGAGTTCCGCCCGCGTGCGCTATTTTGAGCATCACTGATCTAGGCATCTAATATGGCGCCGTTGAATCTCTTTACTCTATATAAATACCACTTCCTTACAAGCTGTTACTCTGCCCTAACGATCCAAGTTCTGTAGGTTCGCTTCCATCACATCTTCGAAATTTCTCAAATTTTTTTGGGTAGGTTTAAGGCAGTTTTAAAGAGCCACAAAGAAAAGTGTGCATTCTGATTTCTGTTTCTTCATAAATAATTATGTTGTTAACAGCGCCGCAATAAAGGAAGAGACCAAATATCTAGGTCTCATAGTAGATAGGAAACTAAACTGGGGGCCCAACGTTGCAGATAGAGTGCGCAAAGCAACAGTGGCACTATATTCCTGCAGCAGAGCAATAGGGAAAAAATGGGGGATGGAACCCAAAATAATACACTGGCTATACACGGCGGTGGTTAGGCCAATTCTCTATCACGGTATAGTGGTATGGTGGAACGCCCTTGGGAAAGGGGTAAACTTCAAAAAAATGGACAAGGTTCAAAGGCTTGCGTCCACACTCATAACTGGTGCGATGAGAACAACACCATCCAAGGCACTGTATGCCCTACTGAATTTTCTTCCGGTGGACCTACATGCCAAACAAGTCGCAAGTGGCGCGGCAATTCGAATGAATACTCTAAATAAGTGGTCAAATACCAGTTATGGTCACGGTAGAATATTAACGGAAGTTCCGGGGCTACCCGGATTGGTGGACTATGCACTTCCGGAACCTGCACCCGCTACAGCGTTCGCGACCCTCCTACCCTCAAGGGAAGAGTGGAAGCATGACGCTGTAAGTAGTGGATAGTCCATCCATGTATACACAGATGGCTCAAAGCTCGAGGGTAGGGTTGGAGGAGGTGTATATTCCCATCACCTGGGAATCTCCCTCAGCTTTCGTCTCCCGGACCACTGTAGCGTTTTTCAGGCTGAACTGATGGCAATCGACAGGGCCACGAAACTGGTAAAGTGTGATATGATACCCCAAGTTGATATCTACATCTTCACTGACAGCCAGGCGGCAATAAAGTCCCTCACGAAGCAGTCGACAACCTCCATGGTAGCCATGAAATGCCGCGCATCTCTTAACGAGATGGCTGAGTCATTTCGCCCAAAGGTAATATGGGTTCCGGGACACTGCGGCATAGAGGGGAATTGTAAGGCCGACGAACTGGCGCGACTTGGCACGAAACTTCCTTTTGAGGATATAAATGACGAAATAGGAATACCCTTGCAAACCTGTAAGCTACTTATCTCCGAGAGGCTCACTAAAGTAGCGAACGAAAGGTGGCAGGACGAAATCACCTGCAAAACTGCCAAACAATTATGGCCGGTGCTCAGCGCCAACCGCACTGGCCTACTACTGAGTCTAAATAAGTCCAATATTAGATTATTAGTATCCGTCATAACAGGACACTGCCTAATTGGCAAGCACGCCGATCGACTCGGCCTACGCTCACATGACTTCTGTAGAAGCTGTCAAGATGAAGAAGAGGAGGAAACGATTCTCCACCTGTTGTGCCAATGCCCTGCTCTATCTAGACGAAGACTCTCCACTCTCGGTAGGCAATTCTTCGACAACTTGGAGGACCTTAGATGCGTCGAAATCAGGGATCTTCTAAAATTCGTTCAAAGTTCAAAATGGTTTTAGGAGGGATCGGGAGTTGCTGACCCAACATGCGGCATCACAATGGGCCCTGAGCCTAAGTGTGTCTTATAGACGACCGCGACAACCTAACCTAACCTAACAGCGCCGAAACAAAAAAAAAATGTGTCGCAAACTTTTCAGCGGTTAAAAATATATTTTGTGGAGTTCGTCAAGCATGTTAATTGTCATATTTTAAGTTTTCTTACAGTTAAAAAGAATTCTGTATTGATTTCGAGTGCTCTTAACATATGTTTAACCGGTAAAAAAACTTTACGATATTACGACACTTACGAAACCTTGTGAATCACCTTAGCTTTAAGGTAGTAAACAGTTATTGACTTTTTTTACCAATTCCATTTTTTTACAATTGGTGGAAGTAATTATTTAGCATGTCACAAATTTTGCTTGATAATGATATCATTTACAAAGTTAAGCGAAAAAAGTCTAAAATTGAATTTGAATTAATTTCACGGAAGGAATAACGTAAGCAACTGATTCTAGTTCAGCTGCCGCGACAATTGAAACGAATGTTGCTACATTAATAAACAGCAGTGACATTTTATTGCTACTTTTATTTGAGTAGATATTTTTGCACGATTTTTCAATGGGTAATTTTCCACCAACGCCGGCGTTGCAGCTTGTCACCTTGTGATAGTTGCTTGACTCGAGCTGACTCTTTGCACCCCACCAAACCGAAGACTAAAAAAGTTACCTGCGATAAAGTGAACGGACAGATGGACAAAATGGCAACGGGTCAAACTGACGGCAAGATAGCAGACAAGCGAGGTGACGCGATACGCCGATATTTGAGTAGTAAAGAAATAGATACAATAAATTAATGGTATGATCACCCGCGGCGGCGCTTGCGCCACAGTAAGTCGAAAACATCAGAAGTGTTAAGCGAGTGCATACTTCTGTCTATGATTGCAGGCAAATAAATACATACATATTGTGCTATACACACGTTGCACAAACTTACAAAGATAAATTGAAAATATGGCATTATAAAATTAAATTTTGGTTTTCACTTACAGTCTCGACTCATGCCCGCCGACAGGCATTTCTTGAAGCGACAATACTGGCAACGATTTCGATTCAAACGTATCACCAGACATTTACCATCACGCAGGCAACGATATTCGATTTGTTTTTGTATGCTGCGGCGAAAGAAACCCTATAAAGCAAATAAAAAATCTTTTATTTAAAGGCACAGATAATAAAAATAAAATACAAAATATTTATTTGTTACTGTACATTGCTTTTTTTCTTGATCTGATTTGACAAATTGTTACATGGCCTGTGTGTGTGTTTGTGTTTCTCACCTTACAACCCTCGCATGAGGTTACACCATAATGGTAGCCGGACGCCTTGTCGCCACAAACTTTGCACGGCACAAATGATTTCGTAACGCTGTTGGAATTGGAATCCGCTATGGCAAATTGCTGATCTGAAATGGAAAAAATGAGAGTTGAGTGTTGATATTTTTTAAACGACTGCTCTAAATTGGTATGGAATTATCAGGGCTCATAATCTCAGCCACGAAGAGGTTAATAAAAACTAGAGCAAGGACGCACCGCAAGACTAAACCACCTGATGGAAGACGTTAGAGAATATTTTTTTTTTTTTGAAAATGGAATAATACATAAAATACGACACAATACAGTATCAACTGCTGTAGTGCGTGAGACCATCATAACGATGGCCTCTTGTCGATGCGCCACACAGGCTAAATGGTAAGGGTAAGAAAATCGTCGATGCTGTCCGTGACGACGTAATGTGCCTAGAAAATCTGAATAGCCAGAGATGCAATAACAGCCGCCTCGAGCAATTTCATCAAGCAGATATATGTAGATACAAGATTGCAATGAGGGCGAATGTGGTCGTGAGCGTACCCTTGCGGCACACAATTCTGCGCTCTTTGTATGCATAACTAACCCCCTTCCCTCATTTAGCTATCAGAAAAGTAAATTCGTATAAGATAAACATAGGGCCAAAGCAGACCAAATATACGGGGTTTCTATATATTTTGTCTGCAGCGTCATCTATTGGGTAAATTTTTTTACAGAAGCAATGAAATTAATACGCGTTATGAATTTCAACCAGATTGGAAAAAAATACGGATTTTCGGAATAACTCGACTCCAGCGCCATATTTATATATATCAAATACATTAGGGCAAGTCAATTTGTAAAGGAAATTTTTTCGGCTATGCGCATTATCACAGGAGTTTTGGAGTTTGCCAAATTGCGAAATTGGGTTTTCATAGCATTTTGTTATATTGTCGTACAAGAGGGTTTTTGGTATGAGGAATCCATTTCTGCACTTATGTTTTTCTTAAAACTTCCACCAGAGGACGCGGGAGTAAAAATTTTCACGTTTTCTGCGTAACCAATTTTCGCGATGTGACAACAATAAAGAAGTCGAAGAACGATATTAGGCTTAACGCCACTTTTGATCTAAGTAAATACAGATGACTCCTTTAAAGCATAGAAAAGTAATAGCATCGGATTATTATATTTTTATACTCGAGCACAAGGGTATTATAGCTTTGTTCACATAACGGTTGTTTGTTACAGCCAAAACGTATGAATAAAAAGTCTGCCGTGTACACGATAACTCGAGCAAAACTCGAGATTTCTCAACGAAATTTGGTATGTAGGTTGCCCTCTATTCAAGGTACGTTGATATTGAATATGGGCGAAGTAGGACTGTAACCACGCAAACTTCCCAAATAATGGTATTTTAGAAAAATGCCAAAACTATGACATTTTAGTAAATATTGGATCCAAATTGTTGAAAATTAGTATTGGAAGTAGAATTTCGGCATACACATAATATTATTCTGAAATTTTTGGAAAACAGGCGTGACCCCACCCACTTATGATGAAATGCTGTATCTCAGTAGCCGCTGCACCAATCCTTGGTAGGAGCCTTGCCTCAGGTCTAGCTAAAAAAGCTGTTGAAAATCTTTGAAATCGGGCAGCTAATTCACTCAAAATCGATTATTGCAATAACCACTTAGCAGAAAATTAGATGAATATAAATTTTTGGATAATGGGCGTGGCGCCGCCCGAGGGATATATGTACATAATATGTATCTACACTTAATTGCGTTGCAACGGGATTGATTGTTAAAAATTTTAGTGCTATGTGAATAAGAATATACTTAGTAATGCAAATCCGCACTTAAATCTGTAGAGATTGCTTGAATATTTCAAACTTATTTTCTTAAAAACTGTTTCAAGAGCTATGTGAATTTAATATGTATAAGTTTTTGCTTCTAAAATATTTAAAAAAAAAACTGTGACCCATAGTTATAGTCAAAACAGAGTCGACTCTAAGGTTATTTGTAGCTTTTGTGACAGATATCTCATTGAAAATTATGTCTACTATAACTTGACTAGAACAAGGGGCCAATATATTTATTGTGAATGCAAAGGTAGCTTAGAGAAAGTTAAAACGACGATATTTGATACCTGCGCCGGTTTCGCCCGAACTTATACTTCTTTACTTGTTCTTTTATCAAACTTATAGCGTTTTCTTTTCTCGAAATAATGTATTTATTCTGCCCTGCGCCAGGGCTGTTAAATTTTCGTGTTCTTTTCTCAGCATCGTCACATGTATATTGCGTAGGGTTGCCAACATTTTCTAAGAAAGTCATAGTACTTTTTCAAAAAAACCTGGAAAGTGTAGTACACTGTAGTATTTTTGCAACAGTATATAGTAAGCAGACTAGAAAAATAGTACAATACTATATATTATAGTAGGGCTGGCAACCCCAATATTGCGTGCTTTTTCTTTGAAATGTTGCACTCACATAATGTTGCCATATGAAAAGGCGACATTCTTTTCCAGAAAAGAAAATGCCATTAAAGCAGCTAATTAATTCCTGAAAAGCTTGTCCAATACATGCTTGACGCATTTAAAAGCTAATATAATTAATCGAGTGGTCGCCAGTCACGCACATACATACATATCGTCGTTTAAAGTACAAAACCGCGTATCGTCATTCTGCAAAACCGCGTAACAGAGATTTGCTGCCAAAAATTGGATTTGCTCACACAAGCTTTTGGCTCAATCCTTATCCATTCGTCCTGAAATATACTAGCCAGAAATGCGATTTCTTTATAAAAAAAGAGAACCATTTTGAAAAATGAGTGTTTTTACGCTCTAGAAAATAATTTGTAAAACTTCACATACGCGGCCTTGCATTTTGCGGTTTTGCACTTTAAGTGACGATATATACAATAGGGCTATTCGCGATCCGGTGCAAATGGCCTAGCATCATTGCATTGCAAATTTGTATAGCAAATTATTTGCAATACACAAACAAAATACACGCATTTGCGTTTGTCATGGCTTGGCAAATTTGCAATACCGAAAATCCATAGCATAAAAATGCTATGCATTGCATTCATAAACAAAACCAAAGCTGATGCGCAAAAATTGTTTTGCAAAAACTTTACCATGACAGTTTAATAAAGGTCGCTCAAAATCAATGACATATTTCCGCAATTGCATAAATTTGTCAGCTCTTATGGACCGAATCGCGAATAGCCCTATAGTTGCCCATACGCACTGCTGGTTCAAAGTGGCGGAAAGCAGTGAAGTGAATTCGTTGTATGCCGATGTTCCTCGTTGATGTGGAAATGAATGAACGTGATTAGTTGTTCTCATTCTCAGCTTCTGTTTTCCTCTTCCTCATTGATTTCTTTTTCGGCTTTCGAGTGCTGCGCTAGCATACTCTCGATTGTATTAGCAATTACATGTAATTGCTATTGATGAGGAATCAATCACTTACACGCTCATTTGTTCACTTACCAAGTTATGCACGGATGATGTACACATAAATACCGCTAGGTGTGGTGGTTTTTGTGTATGCAACACATAGCATTCAACGATAATTGTCAGCATGACAAGCGACTAATGACAGCTACCACTACATGGTAAACGGCCGATGCTAATTGTCCTACAGCAGATGTAATGCAATTGCTGTGAAGAGAATGTCAAGTATGTATATACATATGTATAAATTTCCAAATGAAAAAAAAACACGCATTCCAATATTTTTTGTTTTTGTGGCTTATGTGTGTGGACACCAATTTTTTACTTTTGTAAAATAATCCATTCTTCTTTTCGCCTATTGAAACTAAACTATCAACTATTATAAACCTAGCAGATTGTGTATATGTACGTATATGTATATACTCACTGTTTGGTTAAGTGATCTACATATACACATACCTACTTCAGTTTAATAGCAAGAATATGAGGTAGGCGTCGTTTCGGCCAGATGTAGGTAAACAATTATGAAGATTAATTAGAGTCTCGAATACATTGTTTGAATACAAATTAACCGAAACCCTTTATTAATCTACTCTTTAACTTAAACTGATTTAATTTAATACAAATATATTATACAAATCAGAGAAAAGTGCTAAACCCTAACGAGTATCTTTCAATCAGTTTCAATTTAAGATGGTCCAATTTATGACTCTTTGCTTTCTTAAATATTTGCACCATGATTTCGCCCTGGACACATTGCATCAAACATGCTGTTACGAGCAGGGTTGCCACTGACGAAAAAATACTTAACAACAACTTGAAAAAAATCTCCCAGATATAGAAAATATCTACCAATAACTTTTTTAGTTATTTTAATAAAAACTATAGCTTTGTTCTAGTTTTTTAGTTATTTCAATTAAAATTAAAATTGTTTTTAAGGAACTTTTTATTTAATAATAATGATATGGTATTTGAGATAATATTAATGGCATCTCCTCGGTTTCCTTCAACCAAAAACGACAGTGATGAAACTTAGGCAACAACGAAACTTTATCACTTGAAAAAACTTCAACTGGAGTTATTTAAGACATATGCGGTGACTCAAAAAACGGCTTTGTGATTTTTTTAATATTCACTTTTTTTCAAATAAAAATTTTTTTGTATTTTTTTTTTCTTGTATATAAATATTGTTTGAGCTTTAACCAAAACCCATAAAAAATCAAGGATTCAAGCTACATATATACAACATTCAGAAAAATTTCGTATAAAATTCGAAATTTTTACTCTGAGTTTTTAGAATAATTTAGGGTACGGAGTTTTATAGCCCATGGAATTTTAGTATAACCAACAATGTGCAGCAAAAATTACCACTGAATTTTTTTACTTTTTTTCCGCCGGTCTTTTGCCGTTTTTTTTGTTTCATTTAACAATGTCCATTGATAAAAAATGGGTTGATTTTTTAATTATTTTGCCAACAATTATAGTGTGTAATTCATACCTGTCCATTTTTTCTCTTATTTAAAGAATCATTAAAAAAAGCTCCTTCAAGAAAAATTAGTTTTGAGTGGAGCACCATACGTTCGCCTTTTATCGGTATACAGTAGATTTTGCTTAGCTGCACATCCTTCTTAGCACGAAAAACTTGTGCACCTAACCGAAAAA